TCACTTGGAGCTGGAACTCTGCCCGCAAGAATATGGCTGCATGCAAATATGTATACTTATATAGTTGTTGAAAAACAGTATGTGAAAAGTGTATATCTGAATTCACAGTATTCATAAAACAGTAGGGTGAAAAGTACTCAGATAATCTACGATGTCCGGCATGAGGCCACGGGAGAGGGTGTGTGAATGACAGTGAAGCAACACAACTGATGCTGGTAGATCACATGACAATTCATACTATAGCATATACTATATACACCTTTTTAAAGGTTCCAAAGTACCTACTCTGAGAGTAGGCCATTTTAGATTGAGCCAATGATGGTTTATGGTTTTGAAAAACTGAAAAGACTATTTCAGATTAATGACAACTATGAACAGTGTTGGGGAAAGTTACTTTTAAAAGTAATGCATTACAATATTGCGTTACTCACTAAAAAAGTAACTAATTACGTTACTTAGTTACTTTGTATAGAAAGTCATGTATTACGTTACTTTTGAGTTACTTTTTAAATCTGGGCAGGGCTTGCTTCTTTGTTTTTAATATAAAAAAGTTCTTCTTTTACAAATGTAAAAGCCCTTTTCACAACAGAAGTTAAATGAATACGCCTCAGGCTGAAGGAAATGTAAATTCACGTCTGTACAGCAGAGAGCGCAGCTCAAACTAATTGCATGAAGAATATGATGCAGGAGAAGAAAGTTCAACACTATTCAACAATAACAAAAATGAAACACAAATATGTCATTTTTGCTTATTAGTATGGTTGAATTAGATCATCGAAGGTCAGTAGCAAAGACATTGGTTAATAAAATGGGATTAAATACATAAATTATATTTGTCTTATTTAACATTTAATTATTGCAGGTTTATTATATAATATTCTGAGTTTGCATTTTACTGTTTTTATTCATTTTGAGGAATACTGAATCTGTTTTTGTGCAGTGAGAAGAATATACGCTGTGATGTTACTGTAGTTCTAGACTAAATATGAACATTATTTGTAAATGATGTTCACATTTAGTCTAGAACTACAGTAACATCACAGCGCACACAACGCCTCTGCACTTACTCCCGATTTCTCTCAACATGGCAACACGAGAGCTGTCAGTCAAGACATGGGAAACAAAGTAACTTGCGTTACTTATTTGAAAAAGTAACTCAGATATTTCCTTCTAAATTAAAAAGTAATGTGTTACTTTACTAGTTACTTGAAAAAAGTAATCTGATTACGTAACTTGCGTTACTTGTAATGCGTTACCCCCAACACTGACTATGAATATGGTGTTGTAATAATAAAACAAGGTTCATTTGTTAACATTAGTTACCTACAGCAGTATGAATTAACAAAGAAAAATACTTCTAAAGCATTTATTAATTCATGTTAATTTTAACATTTAATAACACATTATTAAAATTAAATGTTGTATCTGTTAATATTATTCATGGAACTGAGCTAATATGAACTAACAGTGAACCGTGGTATTTTTATTTACAAGGAATAATAAATACTGTAGCAAATGTATTGCTCATTGTTAGTTAGTGTTGATTAATGCATTAACAACTGTTACTGTTTTAAAGTATACCGTATTAAGGAAGTCATGCCACATAACATTTTGCCACCTGTACTAACCTTGATTTGTCATAAGTTAATTTACCTTAAGTTAGGATGAAACAGAAGTAGTGACAGATCTTTTTTCTTTATTGTTATGTACGAGTATTTTTCATGGGAAAGTTCAGTAATGGCATTTTTAGTAAACATCACAAGGTCAAAACATAAAGAAATGAACCATATATGCACAGATGAATGGTTCTCAGTAAGATCTGTAATGTGCATTTAGAAAATAGATAAGTTTTCATTCCATGCTGTCTTTAAAAGATGAACTGACCTTGATGCACACTGAACTTCTGTTTGAAATTTGGTGACTTTCAAATATTAATAAGCAGTGATGCCGTTTAATTAAAATAATATTTGTTTCTAAAAATTAATAAAAGCTTGTGCTAAATTACTTAATATTTTCTCCATCAAAGAATTTCATCCTTTAAATTAGGCTTTTGTCTTCATTGATTTCAAGTTTATTGTATTACCCTGATGAGAAATATTTTTAATTGGATTTTAATTCAATTAAAAACGTCCATTGTATATTCAAGTCAAAATCAATGCATGAATTGAATTTGAATGCATTTTTGAATAGATTGATCATTGAGTGTCACATCGTTGACCCTAATGTTATACAAAAATAATATGGTAACACTTTATTTAAAGCATATATATATACATACTATTATAAAAGTAGTTTTAATGCATCAGTTATGCCTTGTAATGCACCTTATAATGCATCTCATGAATAAAAGTAACCACAGTTATAATACAGTATACACTTAATTATTCATTGTTACACCTTTAGAAGTTATAATGCATTTAAAAAACACACACAAAAACAAACATTGAAATATTACAATGCATTTGAACTTTGGTTACAATTATTTATGAAAAGATATAATGCATTACAACATACATTTTGAATACCTTTATTATAAAGGCTTTAAAAGAGTTACCAATAATGCCAATAATAAGCAGCCAAAAACATATTGTAGAAAAAACGATGTTTATCATTGTAGCAAGTGAAGCCTTCTTTAATGTATTCAGGCTGATAATTGTCTTTTACCTTATGTTGTTTAAGGGGCAATGTACACAAGACTGTTATCAACTAAAAACTGAAAACTGTTTATGCATTTTGGCCTTTCATATACAGTATATGTTAACAGCATTTTGGGGGCCTGAAAATGCAAACTTTTGAAAATGGATTTTAAAGTGCAAGCTTTTGAAATTGTTTTGTATATTGTTGTTGTGTAAACGTGGTTTTTGATAATGAGGACATCACACCAGCCATCCATGTTGACATCAGCCTAATTTGACTATAGCTTCTACCGAATGATAGATGAATGTGTGGCAAAATACCATAGAGCTTGATTGGGTGCACAGCCTTTGACATCAACAAGGAGATATTTTGCAGTTTATTATTTGTAGTCGGTGTTCTTTCCCTGCTGTCCGTGACCCTATCAGATCAGACTTGCGGACCACCGCCTCAGACTGCTGCACTTTCATGTTTTCTTCCAGCATTTTAGCATGCCATCACTTTTCTGCTTGTACCCACAGTAAACCGCACTGACACACTGGAAATCTGGTCACCTTATGTGGCAACACCTCGCGAGTCACGCTTGTCTGAAACATGAGGAAATTTACTTCACAATGCTGCTGTCAATCACTACGCAGCACTCTGGAGCAGCAGATGGTTTTTGCAGATTCAAAAACAAATTCATCTGAACCCCAGCAACCGAGGTAAATAGCTCACACTCTTGGAACAGACTCCTGCCGCCGTGGAGAGGGATCGCAGATAATGGACTCTGTCCAGGGTGCCAGCCTTTCGAGCGCCGCACGTCTCCATCTCCTCAGTGCTCATCCATCACACCGGGAGCAATGACGGAGCGGAGGCCTGAGGGAGGTCACTCTCCTCATCGTTATTCGCATGCCGATAAGTGCCAGCGCTCGTCTCTTGAGGACCGTGCATTTAGGGCACTAAATCTGCCACAAAGAAAGTAGGAGGAGACCATATGCCGTCCGTCTTTAGGGGTAGTTAAGAGTCTCTTCGCACATTGAGGTGTGATGGAACGCTGAAGGATGAGTTGGAAATGTATGACGTGAATCAGGCAGGAAATAATGTTTATTAATGGCCATGTGATTGATGTTTCAGAAGCAAGTCTGTTTTTGACGTGAAACTTAAAAGGAGTCTTTGAATGTTGCTAAAGACCCATCCTCTTCATTGACAGATCAATACATATTTATGTATTTTAGCAAATTCATTTGAACATCCTGTGTAGTTTGTCTGTTTCACATGATGTCTTTATGCGATCCAACCTGATTTCGATTGGAATGACACACTTGAAGGGATAGCAGCACCTCTGCTGTCAGTGCCAATGGAAATGTTCAATGCGGTACTTCAGTATTCTCTTTAAAAATGTCTAACCCTGGATTTTAAATATATTTCCTGCACTCACATACAATATATTTTTTTTTAATTGGGTGACCAAAACATGTTCAGGCCACATTTCATCCTCAGTTAATAACCTTATATATATATAACTTTAATAAAAACAGAAGAAAAAAAACATTATACACAGAACAATAAGACTCTAATGCAAATCCCCACTGAGAGTAATAAAAATGGCATCAACAACAAAGCATTATACAGTATATACACCATTCAAAAGTTTGGGCTCTGTAAGACTTTTTTTTTTTTTTTAAGAAGTCTATCGTACTCACCTATGCTGCATTTGTTTGAACAAAAATATAGTAAAATGGTAATATTGTGAAATTTTATTACAATTTAAAACAACTGTTTACTATTTGAATATATTTTCAAATTAAATTTACAAATTGTGATGCACAGCTAAAGTTTCCGTCTTCAGTGTCACATGATCCTTCAGAAATCATTCTAACAGCATTTTATTAATACAGAAATCATTTGTGACATTATAAATACCTTTACTGACCAATTTATTGCATCCTTGCTGAATAAAAGACATTCCGCCAATTTTTAACGGTAGTGTATAATATATGCATGCATGTACTGTATGTATGTATGTATGGATGGATTACTTTTATTTTGGGGTGAAATATGACTTTTCTTGAGGAGTTACTTTGGATTCACTTTTCTAAATAATGAGCGAATGGAAAGTTTTCTGCTTTTTGTTAAACGCATACTTCAAATGTTCCATTGCATGGTTGAGATCCAGCCAACTGCAATCAGTATGCTACAAAAACATAACAAAAAAGTTTGGTTTTTAAACTAGGTCTTTTTTGCCTATTTTATTTAATTCAAACATGGCAGATTTGATAAAATTGTGCAAAACGTTGTTTCATCTGAACTACCATTTGAACCAAAGACATCAAATATGTAACAGTAATGACTTCATATCAAACAGCAATAACAGTGAACCCCCCTCATAAAATAATTTTCAGTTAAATTAACTTCTCAGTGAGTAAAGCAAAACATCAATGGCAAAAATAAATTGGTTTGCTTTCTAACTACAAAGTTTCGCAGCTTCGTACTCTTTGTAGAACGGCTGTTTGGCACTAAAAGTCTGGAGTGTGGTGAGTATTCTCTCTACCTCGGAGCTGGAGAGTTTGAGCCTATGTCGAAGTAGGCAGGAGAACAGATCTAATGGCAGTGGTCCAGGAGGAGACAGTCTATTGACCCGATATCGGATCTCCATCAGCTGCAGCAGAGCAGAGTCCTGAGATCCCTGAGTGTACGGATAGTCCAACTGTAGGATCAGATCCTGGATAGCCTCGGGGTCAAAGTGCATACTGTAACCAAACAGCTGCACACTGTTGATCTTCATGTATCCAGAGTTCTGAGAGGCATCCGTAGCTTCCAGCGGCTCGAAGTAGACCGTATCGTTCCCCTGAGAGGACTCGGTCCGAATGCGGCTCCTCAGGTAGAAGTGAACAGTCTCAAAAAAGCTCTTCCACCGGTTGCCCAGAGTCAAGGTCCAGTTGAAGCAATCTAAAGGAATGTCCAGCTTGGTCTTTTCCCAGTCCGGGTAGCCATTCTGATTGATGGGCATGGTCCAGCTTTCCGAATGGCTGCCGCCAAAAGGATTGACGTAGACAGACAGCGCAGGCTCCAGGGTGGAGTTCTTGGTCATGCAGATCTGCAGCGAGATGCCCAGGAGCATATGGACGCGGCTGGATTTGAACTTGTTGCTCTTCAGCGTAAGCAGCATCCTCTTTCTCCAAGACGGGTCGAACCAGACGTTGAGGCGAACGTCGTTGCTGACGAAGATGGCGTGCGTCATGATGCGGCCGTCCCGGTGTTGCAGTAAGTAACGTAGCTCCAGGTCTTGTAGGTCGGTCTCAAAGCCCAGGTAGTGGTCTGTAGGGTTGGGTACGGCGTTTTTACAAACTCCATGACTGAGAATGTAACCTGTGTTGCAGCTGGAGCAGCGGGTGCGGTTGTCCACTGAGCAGGAGGCACAACGGTGACCGTCGCCCACCTCGCACGGGACGATGCCCTGGCACGAGGGGCTCTCGAACGGACAGGCGCAAGTCCGTAATTCCTCTGCGTAAAATCCCAGTTGGTTATTCTCACTGCAGTACAGGATGGACAGGGTGAACTGTAGCCAGTAGCTCAGCGGCCTGTGAAAACCAACAATAAAAGAGTGAGGAAACAAGACAAAATGGGATTTTATAGCTTGTAATGTATGCAAATAATTGCGGAGATCATAAGGCAATGATTCGCAACAAACGGTGACTGTCAATAAACAGCTTTGTTTAAGCAACAGAACGAATTGGTTTCTAACCTTGAGCTCTGCTAATATCTGCCTTTGAAAGTGCTGCTAGGGTAAAAGTAATCCATTAGTGCAGCAATAGCCTCAGAGGCTGTAGTGGGTGGTTAAACAATAGATTAGTCATTAGTCTTTTTTACTCGCTTGGAGATCAGGCTTGGCTAAACAATAGCGCTTTCAAATCAAAATCCAGTAGTGTAATAATCATCGAAGTGTTTTCACAATCCCAGAGGACAACTGCATTGCTCAGAGGTTACCCTTTCAAAGCTCAAAAGACTTAATAAAGATTTTAGTTCTGTTTAATTTATGTATCATCAACATATTAAATAATAATAGGCACAATTGTTGGTTTTAAAACTTGCCAAGCACAAAGACTGCTAATATGATGAACTCCTTTCCTACAATGCAAAAGCAGCTATTTATCTTTATGTATGAAGAAAAAATAAACAATAACACAATATAAAGACAAATATTGTTTGCAAAATTAAATAATTGACTTTTTTATTGCCATTGTTCAAAAGCCGAAAAAAGTATTAAAATATTTGGACTTCACAGTGTCTTTTTCTGCCCACTATGAGGTAGATGTATGAAACTGAAGAGAAACATTTTCAATTCAAATGTATTTATATAATGCATTATATAATAAAAATCATTCCAAAACATTTTAACAGAGAATAGTAAATGAGATAAAGGTGCCTGTAGCAATTCCCTATATATTCCTAAAGCTAAATGCATGTTTTTTTTTAACATCGCACTAAAACTAGATAGTTATCAATTAATGATTCATATCATGATTTACAACAAAAAAGAATGAAAGACAAAACAGTAATACAGTAAAATCAATATTCGCTCAATAGTGTTAAAATGTATTATTGCATGTTAAGTGTTTAATTATTTAACACTTTAGTATAGCGACCAATTCTCACTATTAACTAATCGCTTATTAGCATGCCTATTATTAATATACTAGCTGTTTATTAGTTATAAAGCACATATTCTGCATTACCATATTCCACATCTCTAATTCTACCCAATGCCTAAAGTTAACAACTACCTTACTAACTTTTAATAAGCAGCAAATTAGGAGTTTATTGAGGCAAAAGTCGTAGTTGATGGTTTATTAATAACGAGAATTGGACCTTAAAATAAAGTGTGACCATTTCATTTAATTCTGTTCCACAGAAAAAATAAATCATGCGGGTTTGAATGAATTCGGTCATCATTCTCCAATTGCTGTCCTTTTCATTTCATCACTGTCTAAAAAAATAACTGAGATATTAAAGAAATCTTATTTGTGATATTTCTGTCCTAAGAGATTGAATGGAAACGCATACAATTTCAACTCCAATCCAATGAATCTCAAATCTTTACGCACAAACACTGAGAATTCCTTACAGACTAAAACTTTGCAGATCCATTTGCATAGCTTGCATAATTATACAACACAACATTTGGATTCACGGGTTTAATGTGTGCCTATAAATATGTTTTACCTCTCCCTTAGAGACACTATTCTGGGCTGTGTGCGACATCTCTTGCTGAGGCTGAAGAGCTTGTTAGCAGTTCGCCGGGTCTTGGAGAGCAGGAGGCTAACGCGACTCTCTAGCTGCCTGTAGCGTTGCTGTAGAGCACTGTCTGTCCTCCACAATTGCTGGATTCTTGATGAATTTAGAGCGCTCTGGGTTGGTAGTTTACCCATGAAGCTCTGGAACTCATCTGACGAAAAATCATAGATCTGAATTAACACAGCATTTTTGCGAAGATTTTCAAAAGGTAGTTGGCAGTAAAATAACGATACGATGAATACTAGAATTATCATTAGCATACATCGAACACAATTAGTTTCAAGGTAGACAAATACTAACTGTTTATGCCCTATATAACATGGTCTGGACAGGGTGCTTCTGTCAAACATTCTGACGAAATACTGTAATACAGTGATGACACATTATAATATAATATAATATAATATAATATAATGTAATGTAATGTAATGTAATATAATAATATAAAATTACACTTACAGAAAGCACATACGTTGTGCTCAAAATGAGTAAAGATCATTTCTAATCACATTTTAAATTTTTTTGTTGAAGGTTAAAGTTGTAATATAGAGTATCTTCACAGTTTGTGAAAATTAGAGTATTAAGTACCATTAGAAAATATTTATCTTTAATTTATTCAAGTCATCATTTCATTGTAAAAATTGGTAACTTTCAATTGTTACTTTAAAAAGAATGTCTGCCCAATTTAACCCATAAAATTGAGTTGTGTTGGTATAAATTAAACATTTAGGTTCAATGAGCAATAAATAATGTTTTTAATTTAGATATTGCCATTTTAAGTTACCATTTCTTCAGTGTTTGTTATCATACTGGTTTGCCTTACTTTTGTCTGTGTATTGTTCTTGTACTATTATATTGTTAGTTTGTACTCTTCAATTGTTGGTAATTTCCCTGCTTTATCTCAATTGTTAAGTGTCCTTGAGCTATGCAAAGGCACTATATAAACGAAACGTTATTATTATTATTATTATCTGTTTGCTATTGGTAATTAACTTTTTTCACATACTACAAGACAGCAACAAAAAGCAGATCCCAGCCATCGAAGATACTGCAACAAATCTTGGACCCAGTCCACACAAATATTTTTTTAAACGTATGAGTGTCCTCTGTGTATTGTTCTTGCATTCATATGTTAATGCTATTCCAAAGTGAAGACTTATTTTAAAAAAAAAATGTTTTTCATAATGCATGTGGATATTTTGCCAAACTATTATGAACACAATTTGCACATGGCAACAATTATTTTTAAATACAAAGCGTCTATTTGTACCCAGGTGCAAATAGCATCTCCCACACAGCTATTAGCACCCACGGTAATGTGAAACCACATATATTTATGACAAAATATCACTTATGTACTGTAGCTGCAATGGTGTGGAGTAAAGACAAAACCAATACACTTATATGTGTGAGCAGCCAGAGTTCAGAGCAACAGAGTTCCCCTCTGTGAGCACGAAATGCAGGAAGAGCCATGAAAAAATGAAGAAAAAAATCAATCAATCAATCAATCAATCAAAATCCAGCTACACTGCCCACATCTTATGCTGCGTTCAAGTCCTCCTGGGACGTTCGTACTTACGAGTTGACAAGTCGTAATTACGACGTCAGGTGCGTTCAATTCAGTTTAGTCGGCACAAGATGGCGGTGTACCTTCTTTTAATAAATTACAAGAAAATACAACAGGGTCTGCATTTCTTTACTTGGATTTCAGCTGCGTAACAAGAACATGACCAATTTAAGTTTATACAATTTAAACAAACATTTACCGTCAACTACAGACGTTGCATCCATCGATTCCGCCATGTTTCTCATTGACACGCCCCCAACTCGGAAACTCTGGGCTTAAAAAAAGTTAGAGTTTCCCACTCGTAATAACGACTTTGTGGTGGCGTTCATGTGCGTTCAACTCGTAAATACGATCTATCCGACATGACTTGAACGCACCATTATTTGACTCTTTTCCCGACTATTTTCTCTTCCAAATCACCTACAAGCTCTTCCTCCATGTTGTTTGTTGACATTCTGTGTCCGTGAGTTTATGTGAGAAAGTAATTTCGGGTGTGAGCTGATCGTATAATTGCCACACGTAATCTGCGATTAACTGAGTACTGTCAAAGTGCACAAGATGATGAGCTTCTACCTTGTAATGTGTACTTGGCTAATTTTTACATAATTATTGTTTATTACATGGCTTTCTGGAATACTTGATTTTGATTGGTCAATACGGTCATACAGATCATGAAACCAACTAGCTCTCTTTAGTTTCGTACAAACGGCGCCATCTTACATCTCAATTATCGACAATAGTGAAAATGTGACTCTTTTCCCGACTATTTTCTCTTCCAAATCACCTACAAGCTCTTCCTCCATGTTGTTTGTTGACATTCTGTGTCCGTGAGTTTGTGTGAGAAAGTAATTTCGGGTGTGAGCTGATCGTATAATTGCCACACGTAATCTGCGATTAACTGAGTACTGTCAAAGTGCACAAGATGATGAGCTTCTACCTTGTAATGTGTACTTGGCTAATTTTTACATAATTATTGTTTATTACATGGCTTTCTGGAATACTTGATTTTGATTGGTCAATACGGTCATACAGATCATGAAACCAACTAGCTCTCTTTAGTTTCGTACAAACGGCGCCATCTTACATCTCAATTATCGACAATAGTGAAAATGACCTCAGAAGGCTACTGTAATATATTGTTTGTCTTGTTGCTACACTGCAAAAAATACTTTTCGAAGTTGAAAATCAATTAAAAAAAATTACAGTACAAATTTCACGTTTAACTAAATGTGCTGCTTGCTGTGTTTGTAATTGTTTGTGAAATGACTAGCAATAGTTGAGTAAATTGTTTCTACAACTGTTTGTTTGTTTATTTATGTATTTATTTTAGTGTAGGCCTATTGTGTATTGTAACAAATTAAGTTTTTCCTAGCGAACCTAAAGATAACAGGTGAAATGATAGAAAAATAAATGTATAATTGACAAATAATTCATATAAACATTTACATTTATAAATAATTCAACATCAATAAAATCAATATTTATTTATTTTCGTGAGTAGCCATCAGTGCTATTTTAGTATTACTTATATACTGTTATAATATTATTATTAATATTTTAAATTAGCTTTAGTTCTTCTATTTTGTTTCCATTTTAATTTCAGTTTCATTTTTAGTTGTTTTTGTTTGTGCTGTTGTAATTCTTAACCCGTTTATGTTTAGCTTTTAAATTATTTTCATTATATGAACGATTAATTTGTAAATCATTTTCAGTAACTTAAATGTATTTTATTTTTGCCAAAGCAACATTTCTACTCTTCGTTTACATTTTTTCCTCTAATATTTTTGGTTATTTTATTATTAAAAATGAAAGATTTTACAATATTTTAGTAGTTAACAATAACAACACTTTTAGATATGCAATAAACAGAACAATGTACAGTCAGCTGGTCAATATTGCAAAATAAACCCCTTACATAAGAAAATGGACACATTTAAGTTGGTTGACCAAGTCTTGCTGGTTAGGTTAGTTAAGCAAGCTAGCAGCCTAATGGGGACGATAATGTCCCATGAGAAAAGGAGAAACACAAGAAGTTTTGGCACCTGAGTCTTGAAATTCCTGGTTCTCCTGCCTCCAGGCCTCCCTCATGCGCTCCAGGTAGTTTTCCTGGGAACGGATATCAGCCTCAGGGCAGTTACACTGGGGAAACTCCTTACCGCACTGGCACCAGCAGTCATTGTCTTTGCACACAAATTGGCCTTCAGCATTGCAGCCTATGTAGCCTAAGGCCGCCTGAACAAAGTTGCTCCTTAAATAACTAGGCAGGATAGCCTGAAGTCCTGGAAGGAGAAAGACGGAAGTGTGAGGTAGACCACACATGCCTCCACTTTTCCAGTACGGCCTTATTCTTGTCAGTTGCTAAATCCTTTAATCTCATTAGCAAGCACAGTCAACTATCAACAATCAAGATTTGTGTATAATTAGCAGGCTAATTAGACAATGGCGGCATCAAGGCTTTGATCGTGTAGCTATACCACGGCTCATCACACAAGCACGACCTCTGGAAAACACTCTAGAATCAGCGTCAGGACGAGAGGAAGTGTGGGATTGTGTACTTCTTTACCTTGCAACTGAACTTTGTTCTCGTGGCTGTGAACCAGAACGGAGCTGACAGAGTCGAGGTTGTCATAGTTACTGCAGCCCAAAGGGCCTGTCCTGGTCTCTGTTACCTGGAGAGAGAGAGACAAAAGCAATTATTGTCTATGTCTAATAAGTTAATTGAAGTGACTTGTAAATATCAAACACATCTGATCAGTGGGTGAGTGCTTTTCAATGTAACCATCTAAATGATCAGCACCAGGGATCCTACACCTTTTGGCTGATGAATATCCACAACTTTTTGAAATATAATTTCCTCACAACAAGCTATTTTAATTTGGTGTAGAAACAATTTTCACTCAGAAATGGCTGGTTAACTTAGCAAAAAAATAAATAAATAACACGCTGATTTTTTTAAATTAATTTGGTAACACTTCATTTCGATAGTCCACTTTAGACATTCTATTAACAGTAAGTAACTTTGCAACTACATGTCAACTAGCAGTTAATAGAGTATTAGTAGACTGTCTGCTTAATATCTTCTAACTCTTTCTTTGTCAACATTCTACTAACCCTAAACCTACCCTAACAGTCTACTCTGATAGTTAGTAGACATGTAGTTGCAAATTAATGAGAATTAGTTGACATGTAGTCACAAAGTTACTTATAGTTAATAGAATGTCTAAAGTGGACTATCGAAATAAAGTGTAACCATTAATTTAAATAGAATTTTCTTGTCAAACAATCGAAAAATAATTGTTAGTGTTACACACACACACACACACAAACACACACACACACACACACACACACACACACACAATGCTTTTTGTAATTTTATATCAAGAAATGAATCATTTTATTTAGCAAGGATACATTCAATTGATCATATGACAAAACATTTTAGACTTACATTGTAACAAAATTTCTGTTTTAAATAAATACTTTCTATTCATCAAAGAATCCTGGTTCTTGTCAAACAATCGAAAAATAATTGTTAGTGTTACACACACACACACACACAAACACACACACACACACACACACACACACACACACACAATGCTTTTTGTAATTTTATATCAAGAAATGAATCATTTTATTTAGCAAGGATACATTCAATTGATCATATGACAAAACATTTTAGACTTACATTGTAACAAAATTTCTGTTTTAAATAAATACTTTCTATTCATCAAAGAATCCTGGAAAACATGTGTCTTGGTTTCCACAAAAATATTACTATTTAAAAATAATTATTTTCTGTGTGTGTTTGTGTGTGTGTGTGTGTGTGTGTGTGTGTGTGCACGTTTTTGTGACAAATGAGGACATACATTTGTATAATGACAAAGGTATGGCATAGGTATTACAAGGAGAAGGTGACTTTTCAGGACATTACCCCATGTCCCCACTTTTCAAAACGCTTATAAATCACACAGAATGGAGTGTATTGAAAATCTGAAATAGCACAAAGTCTCCTGTAAGGGGTAGGTTTAGGGGGAGGGTTGGTGTAGGGCAATAGAATATACGGTCTGTACAGTATAAAAACCATTACGCCTATGGAGAGTCCCCACTTTTCACAAATGTAAACCTGTGTGTGCGTGTGTGTGTGTGTACATATCTATCTATCAATCTACATACTGTGAATGTATGTGTGTATATATATATACAGTATATATATATATATATATATATATATATACAGTAGATAGATATCAATGTAACATATCCTTGCTAAATATAAAAAGTAAAGCAAAGTTAAAGTAAAGTTTAAAAAAAGAAAAAAAAAGAAAGAAAAATGTGTTCTGACCCCAAACATTTGAACGGTAGTGTATATTGTTACAAAAGAGTTATATTTTGAATAAATGCTGGTCTTTTAGCTTTTTATTTATCAAAGAATCCTGAAAAAATTGAATTTTCCCCAATATTTCCTATTTTCCTTATATTTCTTATTTTTTAACATCGCCCTAATAATCTTGCTACACTTGCCTATTTTTAAACATTATCTAAATCACTTTATTTTTAAAAGTTTAGAAAAGAAAAGATAAATAAACAAAATCAGCACTTTTTACCTTTGCAACAGCAACAACAACTATGCAGGCCTACTTCTGTTTGTGTAATGATGCAAGAGTTGGTTGCATCTGGTCCTAATTTATCATGAAACTAATTAGGTTAGCATCACTGTATTTAATTAACATTTTTATTATCTTTGCATCTTTGTGCAGCCCAGCGAGCGCTGTTCATCTCTGTATTCTGCTGTGGCATATAAGACTATGGATTTTATCCAGCAATGTAATTCAAAAGCTTCGGTAGTTCATCATTTATGAAAAAAAGCTATACAAAGTATTGAAACGACACGAAGTCAAGGGCAAGAATCAGCAGAGTGTGAGAGAGACAGAGAGAGAAAAATCACAACTTCATTACACCCGCAGAAGGCTCTTACGCATCTGTTAATGCTGCTGGAGGGAGATTCATTAAATCCTAAAAATTCTCTCTGAGGTCTGAGCCAGCTCATTGTCCCTGCAAAGGCCAAAAACACAATAGGCCTGTTGTTGCACTCTACATCTAATTGTACATCAAAGAAATAATTGAGAAATACAGAATTGTATTCAGGACCTAGTAAATGACAAACATAAGGTTTGTTGTGAACCGTGAATATGGAGGAGGGGGAGATTTTCTCATACAAAGCTATTGTGTGGCTTCAGAAAAGCAGTGCAAAAGCTGTACTTTCATCCTTTAAAAGCTTATTGACTTTGACTCACAGTCATGATATCATTTTCTGTTTTTTTTTCTGTATCATAGAAAATTTCACTGAAGTCACTGCACGTATAAATTTCATTTTAATGTATTTTGAAATGTAATATATATATATATATATATATATATATATATATATATATATATATATATATATATATATATATATATATATATATATTTTTTTTTTTTTAATGGCTCTTATTAATATAGCCACTAAAGTGTCACAACACTGACCCTTGGAACAATATAAGGGTGCAAATATTTTTAATTTTTTTCATTTTTGTGTGAAGAGTTCCTTTCAAACCACTTATTGACATTGGATGATAACATACTTAATTAGTGCTATCAAACGACTAATCGCAAATTAAATGCAAACACATGCATGTATATATTTAAGAAAAAAAAATTATGTTTATATATTATATATATTAGTGCTGTCAAACGATTAATCACGATTAATCGCATCCAAAATAAAAATTTTTTTACCTTATATGTA